ACATGATTTCCCAATACAACGTGTATCCCTATAAGGACCATCAGTCTGGTAGCGATTTTCACACAAAGATTCAACCATGAAGACCAAAGAGTTTTCAGACCGTTTGGAGATAAAGTTGTAAAGGCACAGGTGAGGAGAAGGGTATAAAAAGATTTCAGCGATCCTTGATATCTCTTTGAGCATCATGAAGTCAGTCATTAAGAAGTCCCTCCATGCTGAGCAGGCGGGCAAGGAGGAGACTGGGTAGGGACACCAGTGTGAGGCTAACAGCGACTTTGAAAGAGTTACAGACGTCAGTGGCAGAGATTGGAGAAAACGTCCACAATCCAGCAATATACCAGCCACTCAACAAAGAGGCTGGTATGGAGCCAAAACAAAACGTCTCATATCCCACAGGGAATAAACCACACAAGTGGCAATAGGCTTCGTAGTCGGACAAGAAAGAACTTTAACTTTCTGTTCTGAGTGGTGAGTGCTCCATCTGTTACAGATCACACATAGGGCATCACTCAGACAGCACCATCCCTACTGTCAGGAACGGTGGCAGCAGCCTTAGAGCTCTGCTTCTCATCAGCAGGGACTGCCAAGCTGGTCAAGACCGAGAACAGAGGTGGAGCAAAGTACTGGCAGATCTTTCTTCACACCTATCCAAACCTGGGATAACACTCACCTCTCTGCATGACGATAATCCAAAGCAAAAGGCCAAGCTTGAATCTGTGGAAAGACTTAACCTGGTGTCCATGTGCGAGAGAGCTTGAGCAAATCTTGAGCAAAACCAAAACGAGCAAGCAAAAATAGCACCTTGCCCCTTGGCAGCAATTACAGCTGCAAGACTTCCACCAAATATTGAGCTCATGGCTCAGAGTGCTTTTCATATAACACCTTTTGGTTTTTCCAGACTGTACTTACAGACTGAAACATACAGTACAGCGTCTTGCCCTTAGAAGTTGCCAGTTTGTGCATTCAGGTTTGGATAAAATATTTAATTTTAAAAAAAGCCTGCATCCGGGTACCATAGAAAGGATCTGAATACTTTTGCAAGGCAGAGTACTGTATGTCGCAAGTAAACTTTTCGTTTTGATCTGTTTCAGTTACGCTGGAGATGTGGATATCGATGCAGAGGTGAAGAAGCCCATCACAGCTGGGGTAAAAGGCATTCAGGTCAGTTTATTTCCATTTCACTGCCCCGTTTCCTGAATCTCCTCGTCCATCAAGTGCCAAAGCACCTGAAGACGTTTCCTGCTTCTTTCCTGCTTTCTCTGTTCACAGATAATCACTTGTATACTTATAAATCAAAAGTCATGTGTATACTCCTTTGATGATGGAATCCTCATTCCTCTGATGGTGAAATCTGGCTTTTCTTAGTGGTACATTGTTAATAAATCAAGCACTTTTTCTGCGTGTGAAGAGAAAATAACCATGAATATGCATGATCTCTCATTATCATGATTATATACAGTATAGCATATAATGTTTCCTCTTAAAAACAAAAGTGTTAATATTTCTGTGGTGAGCCATGGTGAAGAAGAGACTACAGGGTGTTTCTGCACGTAACAAAACTGTGGTTGCACAAATATATAGGTAAATACAAAATTCTGGTGCATACTGTAGGATATTTCAAGATTTGGTTTGAAATGAGAATTGAAAACAGAAATAGTTGAGGCTGCTCAGAGGAGTAATCGTGCTAGTCAAATGCCTCTGGCTCACAGACCCACCTTAAAACATCTTGAATATCTGGTCAGACAACTCCAGTCCCATGACTTTCAGGCCTGCCAGTTCATACAGTTTTAGGGGAACGCTGGAGGATTTGTTGATTGATCACGCTGCGCTGTTTGTGATCTGGGCGTGTGCCTGATTTTGATATGTCATCCTTTGCATAAAGATCCCTATTGGCATATAGTCTGAGCACAAGAAGCAGAGGGTGACAAGCTGTCCTGATTATGTCAAGGGGTGATGTACAGTACGCTCATTAAAAATGCTTCCTGTCCGGTCAGCTAGTGTCCTTGGACTGTATTTATCCTATTTGAACACTGCATGTCTAGATGTACTGTACATATGCAAGTCCTGAAATAAGTCTGAAAGTAATTTCTGAAATTAATAAGACCTTTTACAAAACAATATGCAAAGAAACGATTAAAATTCCAGACGTTCCTTGAAGGCAACTTAAAAAGTTGTGTCAATGAAAATGGAACCTGCTTCCATTGTGGTGAAACAGCCGTCGTCAGATTTCAAGATAGTGCTCGCGATAACTGACTTATCTTTGTTTTTTTTTAACTCGCGTGTCTTTGAACACTGAAGGATATAAACAAAGGTGAAACGGTATACAAAAATGTGTGACCCCCAAAAAGTCACAGAACACTAAGTTGTCAGAGGTCATTGAACAATTTTGAACATGGAAATGTTCATGAAAAAAATTGTTTTTTTACATAGTGTTTTTTCATGTTTTTAATGGAGTTTAAGCGGTATTCCATTTCCAGCTTATAAACATTACATGATGGGGTAGCACTGGTCTGTTTTGTTTTGTGGATATGTTATACCCATTATTAAAACGGATTAATTTTACATACATGCTCTTTTTCCATAATACATCTCTTAAAGATAGTTTTTCAGGTTTATCCACAACAATTTTGTGTACAGAAGTACAGAAGGCGCACTAATCATCTTGTTCGCGCCTGAGTCATGAAGGTGTCGGCTCAGCAGGGTGAACCCTGAGCAGTCCTCACCTGTGCTGAACGGTGTTTGTGTCGATCCAGTTAACCGGGCTGCTGCGGGTGATTCTGGAGCCCCTGACTGGCCAGTCCCCCCTAGTCGGCGGCGTCACCATATTCTTCATCCGCCGGCCGGTAAGCCCAGAGTCTCCGCCTGTAGCCGCGCTGTGAGCGGCGGACATTTACACGACGATTGAGAGAATGATGTAGCCTTATAGGGAGGGTTTTGCTTCATTTGTTTTCCTGTGTTTCTTCACGATGTAAAAATAAGGGCGAGTCCGGATTCGGCCTCTCTCCCGAGCCGTGTGTCCAGCGAGCACAGTGTACAGCTCACGGGCGATGAGCTCTGACGGTGTTGCTCGCTGCAGCAGGTTGTTAGGGAGAACATTTCAAGGCTGTGACGTTTTAATCCATCTGCAGGGTACAGCATCTACAGACCAGGGCTTCTTGTGGCTTTGTAGTGCCTGTGATCCGGGGGGATTCGTCTCATGTCCCCGGTAGCTTGGGCTCAGTCAGTCATTTTCAAAAGCTGTATCGGGTGCTTCAGAGCTCGCCCATTCAGTTCTGCCCCACTGATTACTGCAGATCTGTTATCACATGAAGTATCTGTGTGCCGTGCAAAATACACGTATCTATTTATTTAACAAATATTTGTGATTTGTTCTTTTTGTAGCAGCTGGATATTAACTGGACTGGATTAACAAACTTGCTGGATTCCCCAGCGCTGAAGTAAGTTGTTATTCACCTATTCAAATGAAAACTGCAAGTCGATGGATGGTAGAAGGTTTACAGAAAACAAAGAGCCTTGCTGTACGCTGTATACTGTAAACTAGAGTTTTTCTTTCTTAAGGTATTTTAATGGTCTGTGTTTAAAATCTCTTCTTCCTGTAGGACAGGTGGTAAAAATCCCTTCAGGCCCTTGGGATGTGGTTTATCCTAAGTGCTTCTAGCACCTGTAGCAGTTTTTCTATGCTAATGCCGTTTCATATAGAACTCTGTCCTTCCTCAGCCTGAGGCATGCTGTTCATTGCTTCCTTGGTGAACACCAGAGTGACGTATTCATTTAATACAGCAGCCATTTCCTCATCATTGTTGTTTCAGTTTCACATATTATGATCGATGCATTTAATTTCATATGGACCGCCCTGTTCAGCTGTGCTGGTAGTGATAATATTTATATTTCTATAAATATAATTTAATTTCTGTGTGTCTCTTAGCCTTCCTCACATCCTTTATTCCCTGTGCTTGACGCTTATTATCCTGATGAGTTGAGAAGACGGGGTCGATACACTCACCGCCTCTTGTGGGTGCTCTGACAGAATGAGCGTGGAGGCTGTCTTTAGCCATGTCTGTTTCAGTCTCGGCTGCTGACATTCCTATTGGTTTTTCCCTGGAAACTGTTCCTAATAATCCTGTTTCTAAACTGTTTCATTTTAATTGTCTGAATGTGGTGGTCTGTAAGGCTCCTAACGTTATACCCATTGAAAGTTTTTTAGAAGTGTAGATCTTGCATTGATTCACTTTGCTTTCTTCACGATTGGTGCACCACTGCTCTTGTTTTAGCTGTGTTTCAGATTTAATTCCTATGAAACCTTTTGCTGTGTCTAATGCAGTTCACAAGCCTGTGGAGACAGGAGTAGCCATCTTGCCTTGAGAGGGCAGAGCAAGCAGCATCTCTCCTATACCAGTTGCTGACTCTCTGTCTATCCCTACTGTGATGCAGTAACATCTCTGAGGACGCCATCTTGAACATCATCTCCTCCTTCATGGTCCTTCCCAATCGCATGTGTTTCCCACTCATCGATCAAGTGCAGGTGGCTCAGATGAGGTTCCCTCTTCCCCGAGTGAGTGCTGGTTTTTCTTAAAAGTGTCTTGGGGGGGGGGGGTCATACGACTTATTTAACGTCACTCATTTGGAACAAATCTTGAACCCCATTGTCTTACATTGCTTCAAATTCTGAACCAGGGTGCAAGCAGTGGCCCACAGTGACTGGGATTCTCCAAGCAGCGACATCAGCTGGCCATGATTGCGGGGGTTGAGACAGATTGGGGCTCAGCATGGCCAGAGCCATGCATTTTTGCCCTTTCCCTCCTGTGGCCCTCGTGATCATGCAGTGCGAGATCAGAGCTGCATCAGTCCTCCAGTGAATGCCTGCTCTCCTGTTGGAGCTGTTGGACTCACAGTGTGAAAAGGCAAAGAGCCTGAGAGCTCACAGTGTTATCTTCAATGCCCTCATGCTGCTCTAGGGGTCACCAGAGTGACCTGAGCTAATTGGACCATTTGAGGGGTACAGAAACAACTGGCAATTACAAATTAAATTGACACCTTCCCTATGTGTGGGACTGTCTTGTTTTGCATATGCTGCATGCTGCTTGATCCCTCCACTGTTTAAGTGGGATTCAAAAAAAAAATGAAGCCTTGCATTGCGACTTTGGCATCCCTGGCTTCAGTGGGGGTTCTCTGTGGCGCAGGGTGTCGTCCGGGTTCATCTCATAGAGGCGCAGGACCTCATGGCGAAAGACACCTACATGCTGGGGATGGTGAAGGGCAAGTCGGACCCCTACGCCAAGCTGCGGGTTGGCACGCAGGCGTTCAAGAGCAAGACCATCAAGGAGAACCTGGACCCCCGGTGGGGGGAGGTCTATGAGGTACGTGCAGTATGGTACGACCCTGCACACCAGGCCACTAGAGAAAGCTGGACTCTCGAGTCCGGGGGCCTTCTGTGTTCAGTGACTGTATGGAATGTGACTGACATGAGCTTTAGTGATCACTACGGGCGACTGACTGGCTAATTTGGCTACATGTAAACATTTATGCTGTAACTCTAGGAGTCTGACTTTGTAACAAAATAATTTTCCTGCAGCTGCTGAATCGGTCTTTTCTGATATTTGTCTCCACATTTTCCTGTCATTACAGACTTCTGGTGTCTGTTTTTCTATAAGAGTGCCAAGAACATATAATGAGTCATCAAGGTTGTCTGATGCTCTATTTGTACAGTATATGTGTGTGTTGGAGAAATAAAGTTTACAGATTTTGGGTGTTGCTTTGGTCTTTTTGGAGCCATTTTGATTAAGAGGTCATGATCCTGCCTGCTTGACGAGGTTTGTTTCTTTGCAGTTTGTTGTACATGAAGCTCCGGGACAAGAGCTCGAGGTGGAACTGTATGACGAGGACACGGACAGAGATGACTTTCTTGGACGGTGAGATGACATTGAATGTTTTGACTCGGACATCCATCCATTTACAGGGTCTCTGGGGAGCCGGATTCCATCCCAGCAAGAAACTGGCACAAGGCAGGATACACCCTGGATGGGACACCACCACAAAAACACACACACACACTCACAAAAGAGCCAGTTTTCTCAGAAGCCAATTAACCCAGCAGCTCTCTGGACTGGGGGAGGAAACCCACACAAACACTGGGGGAACAGTGCTCAGGAATTGAACCGGGGGCTTCACTTACAGTAGATATGTGATCTTCAAATACTTGAGGTGCCCTACCAATACCATGGCAAAAGTAATAGCAAAATATGTGATAGGTACAACAACAAAAAATTAAATAAATTAGAAGGAGTTCTTGTATAATAATTACCCCCAGGATGCAGTTCACTCCATATAGCAATAGTGTTTACGTCAGAAGCACAATGTTTAATGTTTGTCCTGTTAGGAATGGTGGTTGTAGAATTTCCTCTTTTCAGTCGATCCTGAAGCAGAACGGCTCCTGTTCTGAAGGTTTGGCTTCCAGTGAAGCCCCTGCTGTTCTGTGACGCCCGAGTGTTTTGCGGTGTCTCGCACGTTGTTTCTGTGTCGCTAGAAAGGCTGTGTTTTCACGGCAGTGTCCCGGTTCCACCGTGACTTTGTGCCCTTGCTCTGTGCGCAGGATGAAGCTGGACCTGGGGGACGTGATGAAGGAGAGGCTCCTGGATGAGGTGAGAGGAGACGGACCTGGGCGAGCGGTGGGTCTGTGGCTGGAGTGCGCTTCTCGGAAAGAGACTGGGCTTGGCTTCGCTCTAGATAATGAGGGATCCTTGTTCTTGCAAAGGAATGTGCACCTGCTAATATTACCAGTACTCCAGTAAAACCCATTCATTGTCATTCTTATTCCAAGTCATATTGTGAGTCTGAAGTAATATAGATGGTCTTCAGCCTTGCCGTCTGGTGTGGAAATGCTCTGTTTATTACAGCAGGCTGTTGTCTTTAAATGAAGGTCTGGCAAGTGCAGGTCTTTACTCGAGCAAACCTTACCCAGAAGCCCGTCTGGTTTCGTGCCTGTGGTTCTGGTATGTTAGGGCATATAATAGTTTTGTTTCTCTTTGCAGCTCTGTAATTTTATTTTTGTTTTAATGTGGGATTTTTGCGTATTGTGGAGGGCATGGAGATAAATGATCTGATAGTGGCGCTATTTCAAATGTTCATCGTTGGAAGAGAGGCGGTGAGCCAGGTGTTTCCGAAGTACTGGCTCCACGCTTTTTCAGAGGCTGATGCTTCAGTAAATCCCTCCTGAAGTATGTCGGGAAGCTTATCGGGCAAAGATGGGCCCCATGAAAGAAGGGGAGGGTCTCGCACAAAATGACGTCAAGATTGCGCTCAATCCCAAGAGACGGAGAGTCCGAATCCGTGCGTCACCTGTCCGCTCCCGTTCCCCCGCAGTGGTTCGAGCTGGAGGAGGCCGAGACTGGGAAGCTGCACCTCAGGCTGGAGTGGCTGTCGCTGGTCACGGACCTGGAGAAGCTGGAGGAGGTAAGGCGAGGCCTCACCGCGGACCCACTGCCGCTCGGAGCGCGGAGCCCTGCGTGTCACGGCACCGGGGGGGGGGTCCGAACCACACCCCTCCGGCCGCCCCGACCCCTGCTCCACGCCGCCGCCCGCGTCCGCGACTTCATCTCGCCCTGTTGACTTCTCCTCTGCTTGCAGACCCGCGAGGGCCGCGCCTGTGCCATGCTGGCTGTGTACTTGGACAGCGCTTCCAGCCTGCCGGTGCGTCCCCGGTGTGTCGCGGCCGTTTCTTGCCGTCGGGTGGTGTCGTGCGGTCGCTCACGCTGACCTCTGTGCTGTGCTTTCAGAGGAACCTGACGGAGTACAGCGGCACCGACTATGGAGGGAAGCACAACAAGCAGGCCAAGCAAAGCAAGGTAACGCTGCAGGGGGGAGGCCCCGTGGTTTCGGATTTCACACCTGCTTGTCGAGTCCAGACTCTGTAAAAAAAAAAAAAGAAAATCGGGCAGTGATCGGGCACGGAGTGGATAAGCAATCAGGAGTGCATGCTGGGATAGATGGGAACCTGTCTGGGGTAGTTGGGAAATATCGGGGGCATTATTAACTCCTGTGACTTTGGGGGTGGGGTGGGGGAAGGACAGGGGTTTGTGTAAATGTTATGCGAGTGAACGTGTGTGGATGTCCCATATTCCCCCATCCTGATCTGTGGCCTCAGGTTCCCACCCTGACCTCTCTGGCCTGTGTTAGTCATCACCCTGCATTTTCACTCAGTGTTGTAGTGGCTCAATTCTTGCTGGCTAGTGAGAGTAGTCCTTTTCAGGACAGTGGAACTATATTATTCTGATTTACAAAAGAGCACTTCCTTTACTACTCTTGTGTGTGATTATTGCCCATGTTAGACTTAGAATTGCAAAGAAATAAACAATGCATTTGAAAACAAAACCCATCCTACTCAAGCTGAAAGGTAGCAGTGCTTCAGTTTGCATCTTGGCTTCAAAACCTGCCTTTTCGAGTGCAGGAATCGGGCTTCTTTGTCCTGCTGTGCTGCGGAACAGGGCTGCTGGGCGAGGTGGCCTGGTCCAGAAGGGGGTGCAGTGTCCCCAGAAAGGGAGCTCCTGGTGCTGGCTGTGTTTCAGGATCCAGGCTGCTCGGCTCTGCGTGGGCTCAGGAATCCAGGACCTGTTTCGCCACATTTTTCACATTCCTGTCACTTTCTCGCATACCTCAGCTGGGGATCATCAAGGAAACGTTTTGTTTCCTGCCCTTGTATTTCATTCCTTCATGCGTTTGTTTTCATATTTAATTAGTTTCTGTTTTGGGCCTGTTTCCCTTGTCTATAAATAGTTTATAGTGGTTCAGGAAACCCAGGCAGATAAAAGGAAAGTTGAGAAACCATATGATCCATTTTTAAGTGGAGTTTTTATTTCACTTTGAGTTACATTCCATCAGTATCAGATTTCTTAGTGATTATTCAATGCAATTTGAGTATAGCAGTAAAAATAAAACACCCCACCATTTTAAATGCCTTGTGGATGCTGTGTGAATTTCAAATGTAATTGCCGTTTAATGCAGTTCACCAGCAAGAAACTTGACTGGACTGGTTTCTAAATTATTTATTCTCTCTGGCATTGTGAGGACACAAATGCTGAGCCAGGGCTTGGCATATAAAACCATATAACCTCTGTCAAAATGTTTGCGTGACAACTGCTTGGTCACAGGTCGGGTCTGAAGCCACTGTGCAGTGGGTTCTGACTTGTGTTCTTCTGTTGGTGTGCTGCTTCCTAGGTCACCCGGAAGAATGACAACCCCAGTTCCTACGCAGAACTTACTGTAGAGCAGCAGACCCAGAAAAGCAACGTAAGCAATCCGTCTGGATACAGCCATCTCTTTTGTTGTGTGTTTCACAATAGCTGCCCTTGGAGAATATCTAATTATCACAAAGGTTGACAAACAAGTAAAACTTGTTCAAGGTGTGTAGTTTATTCATATCAAACATTCAACAACATGAATGTTCTTTTAACATAATAAAGGTTACAGACAAGAGGAGGCCATTCGACCCACCCAGTCTGTTTTGTAGATGGTAGCTAAATGATCCAGTTTAGCTTACCCCGATCCGGGAGCAGGTAAAGGTTTATTCCATGCTGAAAAGAGAAGAAAAGAAACAGCATTTTGGCTGTGGAGCCTCTTTTGGGTATCACCCTCTTTTCAGCCTGGAATAAAATATTTTGTTCCTTTGCAGGCTACGCATGCCATAGCAGCTCCCTACTTATCCCTATCCAGCTGTTTCCCGAAAGAAGTCGTGGTATCGGCTTCAACAACATGGCTGGGTATCTTGTTCCAGAACCCCACAACCCAATTAATAATAAAATATAGCAATGTTCCTATTCATTCGGCTTCGCACATCTCTTCATGACTAAAATCCCTGAGCTTTCTGTCTCCAGGTATTCCTGAGCTCTCTGTCAAAGGTGTGGAGCAAAGACGAAAGCCATTCTAGACATTATAAAGCCATGCAATGAGCTTGGGAAATCACAGCACGCAGGAACTGCTTTCTTTGTTTTTTAAGCTGACAGACTACTGCTGGTTTGGCTGTTTTGTGATCGTATTCTCTTCATGCTTTCATCCTAAAATGTTTTTGTTCCTCACAAAACAAGTGAGGGTAAAGCCCTATCAGGTTGCCGTTATTTTTCTTTAGGACAAAATGTCCTACTACATTTTTACAAAGGAGGGTAAAGTTTTTCTCTCGGCGGTGTCGTACTGTATATCTATTTGAATTCGGAGGTGAAGTTGTAGAAAGATGAGAGAGTGTGTCCTGTAACTTGGTTCAGATTTACCCTAATCATCAATTTTTTCTCCTCTCTCCTCCCAAAGACCATACATGCAACTAAGGACCCAGTGTGGGAAGAGTGTTTCACTTTCTTTGTCCACCACATTCAGAATCAGTCTCTCATTGTTCAGGTGGAGTATGATTCATTTAACCAACCGGTCCAAATAGCTGTCATTGTGTCCCAAACTGTCACAAAGACCAGGCTTCTCATAACAGAAAGATTACTTCCTCACATATATGAATGACTTGCAACTCGGAAGTCTTCATTTTGATATCGGATCACTCACACACATGAAATATTTCAAAATAATCAGCAAAATATAAAGTGTTGTAGCATCTATCTGATCGATCCTGTTTACCAATCACATCTATTGACAACTGCATTCTCAGGACCTTCTCATCATCAACAAGACTTGTTCCCCATATACTGTATACTACTTGAACTTTTAACCACAAAAATCTGATCTGTCAAGTTTAATTGAATTATAAACGTAGTCTTGTTAAGGTCGGTGTGTTCATATTGGTGTTGCCCTCTTGTATTTTAGATCAAAGGCAGCGACAAGAAGGTTCCTCTGGGGGTGCTGGCGCTGCCCCTCGGCCGGCTGCTCACCGCCACAGACATGACCCTGGACCAGCGCTTCCAGCTGGAGCGCTCGGGGGTGAACAGCTTCCTCAAGATGAAGGCCACGCTGCGGGTAGGTCCCCCACACTGGTGCCATTCAGGGAACTGAGACCCACGGAAGGGCCGGGGACCGGGACCCAGGGGAGGGCGCCCCCCGGCTGGGGACCAAGGTCCGAGCACTTTTTATGGCTCCACCCGGCAGACTGCCTGACTGGCCGGATGTCAGCCGAGAGGGAGAGTGATCTGAGATTGCTGTGATGGAGTTCGGAGGTGCCGTACGCGCCATGTTTGTCCCCGTCGATCGGCGCTGCTCTTCTGACCTGTGTCCCACGTCTCCCCTCCTCTCAGTTCCTGGCTCACGAGAAGCCCCAGCCTAAGAAGGTGGACCCAAAGCTCAACGCCCGGGCGCGGGGGCCAGCAAAGGGGGCGAACAAGCCGTCCTCCCCGCTGCCCAGCCCCAGCGAGCCCCTGCCCAGCCCGGACCGCGAGGTGCGCAGCCCCCTGGGCGGCGAGAGCGGGAGGAAGGCCCCGTCCCTCCGACCCAACGGCCAGTCGGAGGGCAAGCCCACCGCCCCCGCCACCCCCTTCGTGCGGGACGTCTCCAGCGTCCACAGATACGACTCCAGCAGCATGCTGTCCAGCTACTCGGTGGCCTCCTCCCGCTACGACCTGACGGAGGGGGGGGGTTCGTATCCTGAGTGAGTGCCGGGTGCCTGGGGAGCCCCTCTGCAGTCATTCCCATAGGTCACCTGTGAGCAATAGATCAGCACATGTGTTTGAGCAATTACATGGCGTTTCACTGAGGGGAACACCGGTCCTTGTGGGCTGAAGGATATTGGGGTTTTTGTCCCAAAGGATCTCTCAATATGTTTATTGATCACCCCACCTGCTTAATTGATTGTGGTTAAATCGTTCCAGGGTTTTAGAAATTGATTATTTAAAGGCAACCTATAACACCTGCTGGACTGGAACTCTACAGGATCAGGGCTGGAGAACTCCGGTTTAGAATAATCCATACAGCTCATTTCATAGGGCCTTTATATCCGAAAGCTCAAAACAGCAGTTACTTTGCTTTCGTTCTTTTAAAATGTGTCCACGGTATAAACGCTAATGTATATTTCTCTTTGGCACTTGCTCTCTGTATACAACAAGTGCCATTGTTATCACATAAATGAAGAGGACCTACAGGAATATAAACAAAGCGTTTTAAAAGACCAGTGTCAGATTTTCTTGAAAAACCTGAAAGTTGAAGAGTTACAACTTGCAAACCCTTTAAAGTGTTTATACAGGAAACTGTGCAGGCACAGATGAGATATGAATGTTTTTATTCCTTTCCATGACATGCATTTATTTGATTTGTTACCTAGAGCCATTCTAAGCCATCAAGGAGGATTTGGGGAGATTCAGCTGTCTGTACGTTATGCCGCACTGAGGAAACAGCTGCTTGTCCTGGTGAACTGTTGCAGGTGAGCATGGAGTCGAGGCCTGACCTGGAATAGTACTAACGGCACTTTGATCTCAGATTGGAGGATGACGTGACCACTGAAGTGCAACTCCACCTGGGTGACGCGCACGCAGTACATCAGGCGGACGACAGCTGGAGGAGAGCGATCTTAGTGGGATCTTAAGGCTAGCTAGATTGTTCTTGCCCAGGTGAAATTCTGCCAGGACAACAGGGTTAACATCCCTACTTTAGCAAACAGTGCTATGGGATCCTTAATAACCTTACTTAAACGTCTCATCCTTCAGGGCAGTGTTCCCAGTTGCCGTCATGGGACACTGGTTTGAAAATTCTGGTCCCTGCCAGAGGGAAAAGCGCCATCTACTGTTCAATCACCGAGAGCACTCGCTGCAGCAGTGTAGTTTTCCTTCGAGATCTCCCATCCCAGGCTAGCGAGTGGTAGTGCTGCTGGAAGTTGTATAATACAGCTGCTTCTCTGCTTTTCAGTGTCTCATCTACATTTGCGTTTCTCTGGAAACCATTTCAATGCACAGCATTGCTACAGGCAGAAAATTATTCAGTCAAATTTAAAACAAGACCAACTAAAATGAATAGGTTCTTCTAGATTTCTGTGTCTTGGGTCACGCCACTAGCTGACAGACTGGGAAACTGAGGTGCATCCTGGGGGCACTGGAAGCATTGGGGGCAGCAGTGGGATCAGCTGATGGGAGATCATCTCTCTGCTCTTGGTGAAACCCTGTAAAGTCTTGGGTGGCTGTAGGCCAGCAGGGACGTTGGCAAAGGACTCACCTCTCCTCTATCAGAAGAAGGATCCCCTGCAAGTTGCAAGTCACTGTAGCATTTGGAGGGCGGGTGGATTGGAGGAGCCTGTTTGCTCTCCCTCGATCTCCCTGCAGTGGGTATGGGGGCCGTCCATTCGAGCCCAGAGAAACAGACACTGCTGGGTCTGAACTGGGTGGTTCCATAACAATTTAAAAAGGAGCCAGAATGATTTATTCAAGCCTTCTTTTCCCACTTCCCAGGAACCTGGTTTCCTGCGGTGACCAAGGATCCGATCCCTACGTGCGGATATATTTGCTCCCCGACCGGAAGTGGAAGCACAGGAAGAGAACACTAGTGAAGAAGAAAACGTCTGATCCCGTTTTCGAAGAGAAGTAAGATGTGTGAAGTACAGCAGAGCACTAGTCTGCACAAGCCCTGTTCAGAAATAGGGTGTGGAAATCTGTATCAATAGCTGTACACTCTTGAAGTGAATACAAATAAGTATAATTAGTAAAAGTTAAAATTTTGTACATGAAAACTGTTTAGTGTTCAGTGACAGATTGTGGATGCAGTGTGTTCTTATTTTTTTTGCAAGAAGGAGAGAATGTAAAAAGGGGTGTTGGTTGAGAAAAATGACTATTGTCTTTATTAATGTCAAAGCTGGAAAGAAAGGAATTGGCAAATCCTAAATACATACCTCTTGCAAGTACGTGGTCCTTAGTCCTTACAGCTTGGACAGTAGGTCTGGGAGGATGTGAACTTTTCTTCAAAGGGAAGATTAAAACAAGGCTCCTTGCCTGAATGCACTATGCCTGTTGTTGTCGAATTTACAGAGATTGAAGGAATATTTTTCTAGTGTGGAGAACAAATTACAGTGGGTAGGATTTCTTGCTGTAAGAAGAATGTTACTTGAATAACACCCTTCTTGTTTGCAATGGAGATCTGGACAAGAAGTGAATTGGAGCTGAGTGTTTGTGCACCTCTGGGCAGGGGAGCCCCAGTGCTGCTGTGAGCCCTAGCACGCTCGGCTCGCGCTGAATGACGGGATTTTAGGCATCATGTCTCATGCCGTCATTCCCATCCTTAGGTTCGAGTTCTCCGTGTCTCTGGAGGAAGCAAAGACAAGGCAACTGGACGTTGCAGTGAAGAACAACAGGACATACAAAAAGCGAGACAGGAAGGAAATTGGGATGGTATGATCATAGTCTGAGTTTTCATTTCATGCAGCTCTGCTTAAAACGCAGGGTTACTGAGACACTGCGATTCGGTATACTTAAGTGTTTAGTTGATAGCGATCTGTATATATATATACTGTACATTTGATTTCCTTATAACACTCCGTATGCATTGTGATAATGCAAGAATTTGGACAGTGTGGCCTCATGTAGCGGGAAAAGGGGCCCGATTGCTGTGCATTACTGCTGAAAGTGGAGTTAAGGAGTGAATTCGTTCATGTGGATCTATTGTAGACTAGTCTAATATTATGTAGATGGTGCATTCGTTTCTGTTGAACAATAAAGGGCTCATCCCAATGATTTTTAATGACATTTTAAATATATCTAAACTTTGATCACTCTTTATAAAATGTTACTGCAGACTTTGGCAGGAGATTCTAATGAATTGTATATTGCCAACTTTTTCAGGGTCTCGGAGCATTTTTATAAACATTCTGAAAAACGGTCTTTATTTTATTAGAACATTATCCCAATCTATCCCAGTATTGGATTTATTTTTGCGGAAGTGTTTTAAGGCTTTTGAGAACACAATAAGCCCGTTCCTCTTCCCTGCAGAATTCCTACTGAAACATCTCTTTTCTCTGTCTAGGTCCTGATTGATCTGTCTCAAGACGATTTGAGAAAGGGCTTTACAAACTGGTGAGTCACTTCCACAGCCTGTCCTTGAGTAGGGATTAGCTCATGGGTCTCCTCTCCTGCCGGTTTCCGCCTCCGTGTGCTTCCCGACGGGCCCTGGAACCCGTCTCCAAGACACTCGCCTGTCGTTCGTTACCTCTGCTGGCGGAGGGGCAGCGTGAGGGCATCTCCGATCTCACTCGGGCTCGCCCTGCTCTCACGCGTCCACAATTAACTGCCAGGATGTGCCGGTTTAGGTGAACTACATTGAATTATGGGTGCAGAGCCAGCACATTAGTTTAGAAGTGATACCATGGGAGTATACGCAGTAGCATTTTGCTGCAGTTGAATACACTCTGAAATCACTTGGTAGCCAGCTCAAAGCGGGTCTGGGAAGAGTTTGGAGTCCTGAGCAGCTCAGAGGATCATGTCCTACCTGAGCGTTTCATGATGTGAGATGTTGTAGTATCTCCAGCACTTAACTGGAGTCTAAGATGAAAGGATGATGTTTTCTTACTGAGTTACAAAAGAACGATTTACTCCTTTTAACCTAATGGTCCATTACAGGCCATGTGCGTGTGTGATGCCAGAGTAAGGTCTCACGTTGGAAAGATGTCTTTTTTTAAAGCTGCACTGTGTGATGATGCTCCAGGTGTGTATAACGTGTGTGGTGGTTAATACTTGTTTGTTACCCCTGCAGGTACGAGTTGTCTTTACCAGGAGTACAGAAATAAGGAGTTTTGCACGGGGAAGGAATATGTGATACAAGGATGTGGACAAAAACACATTGCTTATTTTTTTCAGCTGACGTCTTTGTTTTACTAAACTTCATGCAGTGTGCTTCAGTCACTTTTAAGGCCATTACGGTCATACTTTGATCTGGAATGTAACAGTAATTTCGCTGGAGAATTGTGTATAAATCTGTGAGAAGAAAAGTCTACGATCAAGTTAGTCTCAACAAAACCACCTCCTGTCTTTCAGATCTCCTTAACCTCTCTGAATGCTACAGTGATCTGTTGGGTATATCGGGGGTTTCTCTGCCATTTCTCCCTTACATGTGTAAAAAATATTTATATATATTTTAAATACATTTCAGATGCTAAAAAAAAAATCTGTAAGAAAGATTTTAGGTATTTTTAAACAGACCATTCTGTGGGGATCAGCAAAATGCCAAAAAGTACCTTTTGGTCAATAAAGGATGGCTTTTGATAAAACCAACCATCCAGTGGTGCACTGTTGTGTATGAACACATCCCACGTGGTGAAGGACCCTGTAAACGAAAGATCCAAATATTGTTCATCTGGGTGTCGGGTTTCATTTTTAAATTCCAGCACAATGGGTAACGAAGGAGAAAAGTTTAATTCTCCCACCCCCCCCCCCTCTCTCTCTCGGATCGTTTAATCAAAACCCATCCTCAGCTGATCCTATGGAAGGTGAGATCGAGAAATGGCAACAATGTCTGAAAATATAGAAAGAACTATTGACTGTTGAGACCCCCTGTACGCGGCTGTGCAGTGTAATTGCAATGAGGACATTGGATGGGTGCCCCCTGTAGGCCATGTACAGTATCTTGCTTGGTTCCCATGAATTGACTGGTACGCTGCTGACCGAAGGCAGGCAAGTGTGAAAAGTGCACAGCACTCCTCCTCCTTCATACCACTGTACTGCACTGCAAGACACCAGGCTCGTTACCTTTGTTAAGCAATCACAGACATGGAGGGCCCTGGGCCTTAGGACCCATTCAAAATGGCACAGGACAGGTTGGTTCCCTATGACTGCAGTGCCAAAAAGAATACATGTACTTTTCAATGAAACTTGTTTTAAGACACAAAGAGATGTGTTTCATTGTGGAATGTTTTTTTGTGTACATAGGTGTATGGATATAAGGCAGATTTTTAACTGTATATTTTTTTTCTTGTAAAAGATTTTCAATTAAATTTATATTTAAATACTAAAATGTCTTCCAATGCGTCTTGTGTGCATCTATATGAATAACCCATATTTCAGTCTTAAGTGTCTGCCAACATTGAGTTGGAGAAGTTCAGGTACTGCAGGTAGCAGCGTCCGCATGTTTAGGCTGTAAAGGAACAGCTAAAGGTTTATTCTGTGCTGGAAGGAGAAAAAAGACATTTCAGCTGTGGAGCTTTCCAGCTTAAGAGCCTGAAGAAGGCTCTTAACCTAAAAACATTTTCTCTTTTCTTTTCAGCAGGAAATAAACCTTTACCTGTTCCATTGTCTATCACAGAACCAAATAACTCTGATGTGAAATTACTGACTTACCTCTTACCTGTCCTGGGAAGAAAAGTGCTTTCTTGGAGATGTCAAACTAATTCACCAATCTCATTTTCAATGGCAACAAGTACCTAAGAGATCACAGGCTCAACACTGTCAGAGCTCTGTGTAACTCTAAATCAGAGCTGGATGATCAGACAAGAGCTTAAAGGAAATTCAGGAAAAACCACAATAGGAGTCCAAGGGAGATAGAAACTGCTCATTTAAAAAACAATTTGCTACACAGAACTGAAAATGTTTAGAAAACTTCTTTATTTTGCAAATGCATGGTATTCAATCAGAAATATATATTAAAACACCTTAAACTATTCACACAAAACATTAGTGTTATTAGGCTTTATTCATTTGTCATTTGTAGTGAGCGTACTGCTGGTACGATCTCATCCAGGTGCCTGACATCTGCAAAAGCAACAGAAATCGGATTACGACAGTCTCTTCATGCTGAACACTGGGGAACAACAAACTATAGGTCACGTTTCATATACGGGCCACTTGTGCAACCTGTCCATGAAAATAACTCCCAGCCCAGGTCCCTGCGCTGCTTCACTGACAAAGTCACTGCAGCTCCTGTCGTTTGCATAGTGGAAAGGCTGCAGGCTAGGGTATGGAACTCATTATCTCATTCGTTATCTCTGGCAGCTCTCCCTGACAATATCTGACTGGTGTTTGCAACATGCTGAATGTGAGATGCAGCAGTCCTGTCGTTGCAAAAGCTCCCTGCAGCTCGCAGCTTTCAGTCACAATCTCACTGCAAACGTTTGCCTCCAGCCGCAGTGTCTTGGTGCATTCCTGATTCTAGTGCATGCACACCCTATTAGGGCAAGTTGTCCCACACATATGTAGAATACAATCTGCAGGCTGACCGCCTCTCATGCACAATTCCAAACATTGCAGACAGGCAGTGAGAACTCCTGGCCCTGTTGTTTCTTTACCTAGAATGTGGAGCAGCTCCAGCACAAGGGAGTGGAATTCTGGGAAAAACTCCTCATGTTCCTCCAATTTGGTGATAATACTGAAAGAGGACAACACATGTTAATGACAGCTCTCCACAAAATACTAACCTTTATGCACTCTGCTGTGAGAAATTATTCAACAGAGCAGGAGAAGACAGCCTTGTATAGAGTCAGCTTTTATTGAGCTCAATACACACAGCAACACAGCGTGGGGCCAGCCCTGCAGAACACAGACCGCTCGAGTTTTCTAACCCTTTTTATACACTACAGCCACATGTAGTCTGTGACAGGTATTTCAGCTCAGGCTCTGGCTGATCACTCCTTCACTCGTTAAGAGCAAAGAAGTTACTGTTGTTTTTACAGTGAGTTCATATCAGACTTTAACAGACCCTGGAGCAGTTTGGCAACTGATACAGGCCTGTAGGGCTAAGCTAACTTATCTCTGCAGTCTCTCCACAGTTAACCACTAACTCTAGAATCATGTCTCGATATACCTGTCCCACTTCATACTAATTTTTTAAAAGGGAAAATTGAGGGAAAAAATTAAGTTAATCCTCAAAAGGGGGCTGATATATATTAATCTCTATATGAATTATAAATATTCATACTCTTCAATACTTTATATTCACTCTGATGAGTGTATGAAGAGCTGGTTTCAGTTGGTTATTTTCACTGTACCTGTCGATGTCGCTGGCGCCCAGCAGCCCAGCAAGTTGCTGGCTGGTGTCTTGACTGAGTGACGCACACAGCCACCCCACCTTGTTCACCAGCGCGCTGGGGGGAGCGCCCTCATCTGGAACAAAGTGGGAAGTCAACCCAAATAAACAAACATTGACAGGTGAGAGCCCTCACTCAAGAGCATGCTCAGAAAGGAAAACACTTTCTCCACTGCCAGTGCTACAGAGGCAGTGGATTAATTAACACAAGCTGATTAGAAAACAAAACACAAGACACAGCACAAGAGGAGGCTGATCTTTCCTATAAAATCAGGAATTCTAAGTCAATAACACCAAAATCAAGAGAAATCAAGGAAAAATAAGGGAACGTACATTTAAAACGAATGAACAAAAGGTTCATCTTTACACAAAACATAAAAGGAACAAGCTAACCAGGCCTTATTGAACTGTACACGCTGGCTGAGACCCTCTGATCAGTGAGCTCCCAGCTCCACTCCTGCCTCTTGTGTGCATTCCTGCTGCCGAGACCCACCCAGTCCCAGGATCTCCCGCAGGTTCCTCATGGCGTTGGTCATCTCCCCCAGCCGGCTGTAGACCTCGTTCATGCGCGGGTAGACCCCGGCGATGGAGTTCACGTCGAACAGCTGCTGGAAGTGTGTCACCATGGCGTGCAGGGTGTTTCTCGTGGGGCTCCTCATTTCCTGCGCAGCACGGGGAGACCCATCAGGCGCTCCGATCGGAGGACGGTCAGAACTCGGCTCGTCTCCTTGTGCGCTTTGCTGAAGCGCGCGCTCAACAATCATTGATTGAAAACCGACTGTGGGGCAAGACACCGCTTGCTTCTTTCTATGCATTTTGTTCAGGTCTCACTGCTCCTAAGTCTGCAGTATTAAGTTTAAAGACTCTCACAGTTGCTAAAGGGCCGCTGAAGAGTGTGGAGCTGATGGCAGGCCTCTGGCCCACGCTGCTCTTGGGCAGTACCTTCTCGCTCTTCGCCGTCTCCTCCAGCATGACGTCCGCCATCAGCAGCAGCTCCTCCACTCGCACCGTCTCGCTGGCGCCCTGCGTGCCCGCCGACTGCCAGGGCGCCACCCTGAGCAAGAGCTTCCTGAGGGCGCAGTGCAAATCCTAGACAGAAATAACAGCTGTGTCCCGAACACACCGAAAACGGGCTCTCTCTCCTCCATCAGGACGGCAGGCACAGATCTGATCGGGTGGCGATTATTTTCTCTCACAAGAAGGCTTTAGTTTTTTTAATTAGAACGTCTTCCAAAACCTTTTTCAATTTCAATTTCAGACTCGCAACTGCACAAGTACATTTCAAACGGAGGCCATGCACTTGGATAGTGTACACGTAGGAACAGATCACAATAAAAGTAAGAATCAAGCAGTGCAATCCCTTGAAATGAGCCCCTGTGGCCCCCGAGGAGTCGGATTCCATTATCTCTGTCAGAAAAATCACTGCAGGACAGAAAACGCTGCGTCACCTTCAAAGACATGAGCTGATTGGCCCACATGTCTATGGTGGGGACGATGAGCTCGAGCCCCACTTCCTCCGGGCTGTCTGGGGGCAGCAGGCGGCTCGGCCTTTGCCTGTGCAGCAGCACTGGAGCCCTTGGGTTACTCATCACCGCCTTGAGGGCATCGAGGACCTGCAAAACAGAACCCGCTTCTGCTTGGGTTTCTGCCACAGCGCCAGGTACAAAGGGACGCAGAGGAGCTAAGTGGAAAGAGATGGCTTGGGCCCTGCCTCGAACCCGGGTTCGGGTTCGGGTCCGGAGTCCCTGGGTGCACCGCGAAGCACGCCTGTTTACTGTCTCCACGGCAAGGGAGTGGTACTCGGGACAGAGATTCACCTTCATTTACCTTCGTCAGCTTGGGGACGGACGCTGCTTGCTTAGCTCTTAATTTCGCTGCTGGAATCAGGTCGTTCAAATCCTGGACTTCCAGTTCCTTGCAGGCGCCCTAACAGGAAAAAAATAATACAAGGCATGTGGTGGGGAGGGGCTTTTAAATGCAACTCTGGTCAGATTATGAGAAGGAAACAGGCTGCTTTTGTCAGGGGCTACCCTGCAAAACTGTGAACTGTAATTGCAATGACCTCCCCAGCGATTGTAGAGCGCTGCAGTGGCTCTGTGGCTCAGGATCTGCGCCTGTGGCTGGAAGGTTGCTGGTTCGTATCCCCTGTTGGGCCCCTGAGCAAGGCCCTTAACCCAAGCTGCTCTAGGGGTGCTGTATAAATGGCTGACCCTGCGCTGTGACCCCCAGCTTCTCTCCCTGTCTGTGTGTCTCATGAAGAGCTAGCTGGGGTCTGCAAAAAGACAAATTCCCAAATACAAGAAATTGTATATGGCCAATAAAGTGATCTTATCTATTTAGTGATATCAGCTAATAGAGCTTCAGACTTGTAGCCACCAGACAACCCCAGTCCCATCCCACGGCACTCAGCTCAAGACCCAGAGCCTGGACCTAGAGCAGAAAGATCTGCCAACATGGCGCACACAGACCACAGTGTGAAAACACCACCCTGCGTGCACTGCAGCTTGAGGGATAATGTTGCAACGTGCTGTCATAAATCATTACAAAAACAAAACCAACCTTTAGATACCACCGGCAGAGGCTGGCCTGCAAGCTGTCTATATGCTCCACGTCTGTACTGTCCTTGTCTTTGCCGTTCTCTTCAGCAGAGCAGAGCTGAGCTGACCTCAAGTTCCAAACACAAACAAAAAAGGTTCCGAGATCAAGAAGAGGAAGAGAAAGGGGTCTCAGAGTTCGGGAGAAATTCTGGCAAAGCCTTTTCCTACAAAATCAGGGGATGCTGAAGTATATGTAACTTTTTCTACTGTATATACATTGTGTCCACAGACAGGAATGTGTGAGCACTTCTGCTCATTCATAGAGCATAAGAGGGTTTAAAGAGATGATGATTAATGACTGACAGGCACAAAATAAACCTTCCTGGCTCTATTAGGCTGGATAAATAGATAAAAGTAGTAGGTTTATTCCATGCTGAAAAAAAAGAAGAAAGAAAACACATTTCGGTCGTGGAGCCTTCTTCAGGTGTCACAGGTGTCACACCTGAAGAAGGCTCCACGGCCGAAACGTTGTTTTCTTTCTTCTTTTTTTCAGCATGGAATAAACCTATTACTCGTTCCTTTGCAGCCTACGCATGCTGACGCAGCTCCCCACCTGGATAAACAGATGCCTGCTTCATCTTAAGAAACCTGCATTCTTCATCTCTCCAGAACTATTTCCCAGATAGGGATGAAAAACATCTATAAAAGCCATTTCTCACTTGACGTTGGTTTGCTGGATAATTCTGTCCATCCGTTTCAGCTGCTGTTTGCAAGACTTGAGCTCCTTCGCTGTTGGCCTTTAGGAATGGAAAGAAGGAAACCCACCAAATGTATCAATTACAATAGGCCGGGCAAACGATTGTATTTATGTTATTAACATGTTCCAATGTCCTGCAGGATGTGTAATCTACCCTCGTTTTCGTTTTGGATGATCATTGTGCAACTCAGAAAAGGCATTATTGAGCATTTTGACGTAAATCTGCAGAAAAGGGTTTGAAGCCACGAGGCTTTGGATCTGTTTCAGCCAAGATTGTTCTGCAAATTTAAATGTGCACCTTGACTCCAGTTCCTGCTTCAGGGTCTGGATTTTCTCTCTCAGTTCTTCCTTCTGGGCTTTGGTCTCCTTCAGCTGTTCCTGATAGGACTGAGACAGGGAAAGACACGTGCTCTGTTACAGTGTGACTCTGCAGTGTGCGCGTGTGCATGGGATTGAGTTATTCTGTGCAACTCCAATCACATGCACGCGTAAAAAAAAAAAAACACTGTTAACCCTGGACATTCCAGAACACTCCCAGACACCTCCCACATGCAAACACAGGCAAATTCAACAAATACGGCACAGCAGAAGGTTCCAAAACTCAGGAAATAAAACCACAGAAGGAGATGTAGATGGGACCGAAAATAAAGCGTTCTGCCATTCTGATGTCTAACAGCGTACCTTAAGAAGTGCCTTGTAATTGAGAGTTGCATCTATCGTGCGATTTCTTTCTTCTTTTGTCCTGCTCCCTGCTGGTCCATTTTGGTCAGTTACATCAGCATCTCCTCTCCACGTCCTGCCACAGAAATGTGGTTTAAAAAGAGCGAAAACCTCAGAAAAGCAAAACCTCAAAATGAGTGCCACACATTCTGTCTTTGTATACTTATCAATTCTTTCATTCCACTTTTGTTACCAATGGGCTCATTAAAGCCTCTGTTATAATCCAATGTACCTTAGTTCTGTACGCAGCTCTTGAATCTGAGCTTCATAGACGTCAATAACATCCAGTATTCTGTAGGAAACAGAGAAAGCACATCTTAAAGATTGTCTTTTATGATTACAGTTATTTTCTGCATTGGCAGCACTTTGAGTCACACCTCAACACCTTAAAACTGAACTGAATGCACTGATATTATAAATACTGCACTGACAGCCAATTCTTAAAAAGTGTTTAACTACAAAGCACAAAGTACAAGCTCTTATACTTATGCTATAGAGGAACATGTCTTTTCTCAGACACAAATCCAGTCTGTTTTAAATACAAGTACTCACTGCTGGTCAAGCTGGGAATGTGGCTTGGCTGTCCGTCT